TGATTACTGGTGTGTACCACCACTCCCAGATTTGTGTTAATTATTTTTTTATGCAGTGTTGGATTGGACCTAGAGAGTCACACATGCCAGCACTCTAGCCCTGGGCCACATCTCAAGCACAGGTTGCCCTTTTGAAGTCAGTTTCTGATAAGACTTGTAATACAAATGAACCCCAAATCATGTCAGTATGTTCTGATCCTGTCTTCCGCAGTATGCGCACCACGGAGCTAGTATGTAGACTCAGCCTAGCAGCTGATGGGCCTCTGGGTATACTGGCTCTAACTAGGAGAATGTTGTTGAAGAATTCAAACTGAGCTGTTATATGAAAGAGTTTAACTCTGTAATTTCTAAGAATGGAAGCATGACTTCAGGGGGGCTAGTGAGATGGTTCAGTGGTTAAGAACACAAACTGCTTTCCCAGAGGACTGGAATCCTATTCTCAGCACCCACATCAGGCAGCTGTAAACCCCTGTTCCAGTGACTCTCTGGACTCTGTGGACACCTGCATTGCACTTAACTATACACACACAAAGAGGGGAGGGAGAGAGAAGGGCGGGTGGCTTAAAAGCATAACTTCACATGATTACGGAGTCAGCAGATAAAGAGGGGAGGGTGAATCTCCCAGCTTAGTATTTTCAGATAAGGAGTTCTAGCTAAGCTCCACAGTGAAGGAGGGAAATTGCCATTTAAAACAAAGTCCAAAAATACTGAAGTTCACGTTCCCTGTTAGTATTGCTGGTAAGCTATTTGTCACTAAGGTGAGGCTTGAGGTAATTGATGTAGTGGAGAGGTTTCTTTCTGCTCATGGCTTTAGAGACCGCAGTCCATGATCAGGTGGTCCTTTTGTTCTGGTCTGTGGAGCAGCTGTTGAATGACGATGGAGAGGGGTACAGGAGTGGGGTGGCGTGTGAGGTGGGAGAAAAGGTAATCAAGGACGGAGGTGGGTCTGGGGCCCTGGGGCCCCCTTTCCCACATGACTTAATGACTTCCCACTAAACTCTACCTCCTCATGGTCCTAGTGCCTCCTATTAGTGCTACCCTGGCACCAATCCTTTGCTAACACAGAGGGCACAAGAGGACATTTACCATTTAAACCACAAAGCAAGCGGTGCTCAACTGACCAAAGCCTCTGCTGTCACACGCCACCGCTGATACAGCAGAGTACCTGAGGCATAGCAACATGCTTTATTTCAGTAACTTCACATTTTTCTTATTTATACTTGTGGAGAATGCTTGTCTTTTTCTTTTAATGAAAAACGTTCGTTCTTTTCTAACATAATAGTTTCCATTTCACTGTATTTGAAACAATTGGATTTAGTAATAAGATCATGTTGCGAATGCCCAGAAGGTTGGAAAAGCAGTTCCACATTTTACTGTGGACAATAAGTCGCGTGTTCTGGGAAAATAGGAAAGAAATTTTTGATTGACACATCTGTTACCTAGTTATAGTGTAATATCCGTTTGGCCAATTTGGCTTTTGAAATTTCCTGTTCCAGTTAGTTAGAAGACACCTCCCTTTCTAGTCACCCATAGAAGTCATGTGTACACCTCGGGGGCTGCACGTTCAGGCAGCTCTGGTGGTTGGGGCTGTGATTCAAGTGCCAGCTGAGGTGTGACCTGGATTTGATGCCAGCCTGAGAATGAGTGGAGTCACTCAGTTTAGGTTCTCTGCCTTCTTCCCTAAACCCTCCCTATCTTAGATGAAAGCTGTTTTGTGCTTTTAAAATCTATTTAAATGCTTCACTAAGCAGAGCATACATGTAGGATTTCTAGAATTATACATGATCACATGTAAGTGAGAAAATGCTCTTCTGTAGCAGGAAATGACTCCTCCCCTGTGTGCATTTTATCTTCAGATGAAAGGAAAATTGGGAGAGAAAAATGAAAAGAAAACCAGATCTAGTGTCCCTGTCCTAGTTGGACTCGATTCTGTAATTTGTTTATAAGATGGTAGCCTTTATTTTCTTCCATCTTTGGGAGGGGGGGATTGTTGAAGAGTCTCACCATGTAACCCGCTCTAGTCTGGAACTCAGGATCCTCCCACCCCAGTCCCCCAAGTGCTGGGATTGCAAAGCATGTGGCACCACACCCACAATAACACCCACATGTTAATATATTTAAGTTACTGTTGTCTAGTTGAAATGGTAACCAATAAGAGAAGTTCTAGCAGCTTAACTCATCCTGCCTCCCCACGTGGCAGCACCATGCCTAGAGGGCAGCAGCGGCACCTTTCTGATGTCCACTGTGATTCCATGTGACCAGCTTTCTCCTCACTCCCCAGCTACACAGTCAAGACAGCAGCATTGACCCTCCAACTGGAAGGGTTACAATTTGGCTGCTCCTGTTGTAACTCTCCGAATTTTAGTATTACTCCAATTTAAAAGCTTCTAACTTTAGATGAGCTTTGAGGCTCTGAATCCTTGTGTAACGATGTCTCCTCAAGCTCTAGTTTGTAGTGAAAGACTATGGATTCTTTCACCTCTTTTTCTATCCTTTATTCCTTCCTTCCATTGTCCCCATGTCAGCCACAGCTTCTTCTGGTACATGGCCAAGGTCATTAGCACTTACTTCTCTCCCATGACTACACTTAGAGTTGACTCAGGGTGACCCTGACCTTTGAAAACCATCACACAGCACCTACTCCGCAGTGAGGACTGTTCAGTGTTGGTGTGAGTGTCCTGCTGGAGTCCGTGTGCCTCTGTAGGGATGCAATGTAAATCATCTGGCCAAGACCTTTCCTACTATTTGAGGCCCATTAGTTCAGTCCTCCTAATACTTAAACTCATCCCTCTTATAGTTTGTTTTGTATTTGGGCCATGGTTCATGTGTACACCAGATACTTTTCAGAGTTTCTAATTGTTATTCTCTAACTGCAACATTTGCTTTTATCAAGCTCCCACTCCTGGCATGCTCCTTTAATTCTGCAGACTGTTTTTTTTGTTTGTTTGTTTGTTTGGTTTTTTTTTTGTTTGTTTTTGTGTTTTTTTTTTTTTCAGAGACCTCTAGGGACACCAGTAGTTCTTTTCCAGTCCAGACTTATTATTTTCTAGACACATATCAGTGTGGTTATCTTTGGATTCATATGCATCGCTGAGATATACTGCTTTTAAATATTTTGGCTTCCTTTGCTTTATTTGTTCCTTTATTTTGCTTAATTAGATTCTTAACTGTTTGAGAAAAAGTGCATGGTAGGTAAATTATCAAATCTTACTTGTTGATTTGTATGTTTATTCTACCTTCATAAAAGTTGATAGTTTAGATAGGTATTGAATTCTGGTCATGATCTTCGTTTCATACAGCATCCCTTGCAGTTTATGAAAAGGATCTGAAGAATTCAGTCTCCTTCCTCTTAAGTGCCTTGTTTTATTTCCTTTGAAAGCCATTAGGATTTTCTCTTTATTACTGATATTTTTAAAATATTACATTTATTCTTAGGAAAACTAAGAGGCAAAGTTGAGGCTTCTTCTGTTATTGGCATTAAATTGTTTTCCAGGTGCATGACTTTCCTGTGTAGGACTCCATAAGAAAGTTCTTGGTGGAGCAGCCCTGAGATGTCTCTAGAGTGCTGGCCTCCCAGTGTCAGAGTGACTTCATTTGATCTCCATGTTATGAGCTCAGTACTTTCCTCCTCCCACCTGTCATTCTTATGAGAATGCAGATTGCTTCATTTCCCTAGTTAAGTCTTTGGCCACTTTCACAGACTCCTTTCCCTGTCTCTCTGCAGGGTCTTGTATCTTTCTCTAGACACTGGTGTCTCTATCCATTTCCCTGGTCCACCTTACGGTCACTTGTTTCCCAGATAATATTGGAATCTCTCATCTTTCAATGACCACCAACACCTCAGTCCTGCTTCACCTCCTGTTTCTGTTTTCTACAGTTTTGCCTTTGTTGAATGTCTACATCTTTATTTCAGTGAGAATCTCAGCAGTGGTGGGAGGCAGACACCATTCTGCCATTTTGAATCCTTCCAGATTGGTTTTGGGAAAGCTATCAGCTCTGTTTTCATTTGTGGGTTGTATCTGTCCATGTATAGTGTCCTGTTTACCTGGTGTCTCCTTAGGTTGAAAACACACAAGAGCTATAGAGCTGTTCCCACTTCATCCTGCTGCTTCGTTAGAGCTACAGACCCAAATGTGAGGCCTTTCAGCATTCCGATGAAAGTGTTGGTGGGAAAAGCAGAGTACCCTCACTTTCCCAAGTGCTCTCTTTCTCTCTTTGTCTTTCTCTCTCTCTCTCTCTCTCTCTCTCTCTCTCTCTCTCTCCTCTCCTCTTCTCTCCTCTTCTCTCCTCTCCTTTCCTCTCCTCTCTGCTCATTACCTTCCCAAGCCTTCTCTTCTCTCTGATGGTACCCTCACCCTCACATATAAGTGTGTGTGATCATAAGTGTGAATGTTTGTGTGTGTGTTTATGATATTGCAGTGATGTATGGAGGTCAGAAGACAACTCATTTACAGGAGGAAGTTAACTCAGTTTATCAGTCTCTGCTGCACCTTGGCATCCTGAGTCATCTCATTGGCCTTCAGTGTGTTTTTTTTCCGAAACGTCCGAAGGAGGAATTCTCACAGACCTTAAAATGTGATAAAATAAGAGTTTACATTCAAATTAGAATAACTTTGTCATCTAATTTTCACCCTTAATAAAACAATAAATAACTCTACCATCTGAAGAAGGGATCAGAACCTATAAACTATTATATCAGGCGTATAAAATTTTACAGCCTTTCCAGCATGCTAATGCTTAAAATGGCATGAATGAGAGAGAGCATGGTCATTTTTGCAGCTGTTTCATGTTTCTTTAACATCTGGTTATTTTGGCACAACAGCTTTCATCGATAGAGTCCTATCTTATCCTTTGCCTTGAGTAATGTACAAGCATGTACAAAGCTTCAATGAATCAAATAATTTTCTCCCTTTTTTCACCAGAAATAAACTTGGAGAGAGTAGAACCTCCAGAGTGAAATGTAAAATAAGAGCTTTCTCTTTGTTTTCCCCTGCCCCTAGGTGCTGGGAGCCCCAAGTGCCAAATTGCAATTGTTTTGGGAAGAACGGAAGATTCTGTGTCCAGGTAGTAAAGTTCTGGTGGAGGGACATGGACGAATGAGCCGGTTTACTTTATGTCCAGTTATTCATCTACAGAGCACTACAGGGGCGTCCTCTAATGATTCATGTTGGATATCTGTATCTGGGGTGTTTTGCTTTCAAAATCCATTTGGGAAGCAATTTAGGGAGTGAATCTGTGCACTCCCTCCTGGAGAATTTCTGGCATTAGAAAGAGTGGTTGCTGGAGTTGGTTGGGCAGGCCTGTAACCTTAGTACCCATGAGGTGGTGGAGGCAGGAGGATCAGAGTCAAGTCCAGCCTGCTCTACATAGCGAGTTCTGGGCCAGCCTGGGTTACGTAGTGAGACCAAACCAAAAAAAAGGGGGAATGAATGTAAAGTGTTCATGAATCTTGAAAGATATTTGCATAAAGTTATTAGAAATTAAAATTTTCAGTGTTCAGTCATAGAGAGTTTGGTGTCATGACCAAGGCCCTGGTTCAATCATTGGTACTGTAGAAGAGAGGGAAGAAATATAAACATTCAGAGTTGTCTGAAATATGGAAGCCTTTGGATGTGTGTGTGTATTAAAGGCAATTGTCTTTTTGTTTAATTTGGGATACCAGTTGCCATTTACCATTGCTGAGTAGAGAGCAGCCTCGGGTTTCATCCATCTCTGAGCCATTGTTTCTGTTCCAGATCACAGCCCATGTCAGACTAAGCTAAGCATGCCTTCCATGCATTTACATTCCAACCATCCTTGGTTTGAGTGATCTCACGGGAACAACAACCATTTCAAGTCCTAGCACAGTTTCCCCAATGTTTTTCTTTTGTGCAGACACAAACAACACAGCATGATTCTTGTTCCAATGGACACACCTGGAGTGGAATTAATAAGGCCTTTGTCGGTGTTTGGCTACATGGGTAAGTATTCAGTAAACAAGTCCAAGCGTCGCACGCAGGAAGATGAGTCTGCAGAGACACTGAAGGAAGTCGGCAGCGCTGCTGCGTGTGACAGGCACCCTTAGAAAGCCCTTTGACCACATCAGCTCTCTAGCATGCCCAGGACAGACAGAGCAGATAAGAAGAGGGCGGCAGTGCAACCCTGCTTCCTGCCTCTCTGTTTACTGTGTAAAGGGCAGATTGTCCTCAGGGCAGCCTTCTCTGTGTGTATGCTTGTATACTTAAAAAGGAAACTTCAGTTGTGGGGGTCGGGGAAAGAGTCAGCACTTAAAACTCTGAAAGTGAGTAAGACAGCTGGAGTGTCTTAATTTTTCAATCTGGAAATTAATGCCTGATGACACAGCGGTGTGGTCAAGGCATGAATGAAACAGATGGATGAGTCAAGTGGACATACTCCACCCTGTGCTGGTCCTCCATTGCCATTGCCCTTCGACTTCAAGTGGCAGATTTAAAAACCTCCGTGTCAGGAAGTTTCCCAGGCCTCTTCTAACTCCAGCCCTTGAGTCTGCAGCAACATTGGGTGCTGTGGGCTGAGGGCTGAGTGTTTTACCCTGGAATGTCTGCAATATTTTCTTCTTTCAGAGGCTACTTTCACAGAATACTTATACTTTATAGCAGAGTCACTGTCTATGACTTCTTGGTGCAGCTCATTATATTCATTTTAAATTATTATTATTTTTTGTTTTATAGATAATATACACGGTGGGCACTGGGAGGTCCATTTCAACCACGTGCGGGTTCCTGCCACCAATTTAATATTGGGTGAGTATCGCCATCCAGTATTTTGTATTTTTATTTCCAGGTCTGAATCTGGGAAAGATACCCAACTTTAATTTAGATACTTCCCATCTCCTTCCAATTAGCAAGGAAAATGTTCATGTTGTGTATTTTTTTTTTAACTAGGATATACAGTTAAATGATAGTTTTATATTTTATATCAGCTGGAAATGTAGCTGAATACAGCATTATCCAATTCAGAGCAACATGGTTTTTCTAAAGGCTCCCTACTGCTTTTAAGAAAATGTGAATACTTTCTTTGAATTCAGATCCAATACAGAATAAATAGAATAAAATTTATAATGTTCACTACATGCCTAGGACGACTCGACCCTATCCATGTCATTTTTTTTCCTCAACTCTGGATTCCAAAGGCAAGGAACAGTGTCTCATGCACCACTGTGGCAGTAATAAAGCAACTGATACTTTACTCAAGAAATGGTCCTAATATTAGATCGAATTCCAAACTCCCCCACATCACAGTGACCGTTATTGCAGAGTTGAGTTTTTCCTCACCGCAAGGCTATTTATAGTGAGGGCAGCTCAGCTTTTCCTAGGGTTTTCATAGATAAAAGGGACCTGCTGGGCTATTTCCATGTTCTGTTTGCTTTCTCACAGGTGAAGGCAGAGGGTTTGAGATTTCCCAAGGCCGCCTCGGACCGGGAAGAATCCACCACTGTATGAGAACCGTGGGTCTGGCAGAACGCATTCTGCAGATCATGTGTGACCGGGCCTTGCAGAGGGTAGCCTTCAGGAAGAAGCTGTGCGAACACGTAAGACGAATGTAGCCTTGAACTTGCTGTAGCGGGCTAAGCTGCTCTGACCTTAGTAAGAAGAGCATCGGTGCTGGAGAGGTCTCCTCCACCTGAGCACTGGATTTTCTGCTGTGGGCGTGGTCATGTCCTGAGTGAGCCGCTCCATTTCCCCTCTCGAAGGGTGAACCAAGTCCTCCATGCCCCAACACCGAGAACTCGGAGTGCAAGGAGGCCTTCAGCCTCCTCAAACTCTTGCTCTCCAGAGAGCCTGGGACATCACAGCCCACTGGGGATTTGGGCAGTGAACTTGCCTTGTCCTTTGGGTTTCTGGAAGGGATTAGAACAGATAAGTGTAAATATATAGGAAAGTAGCACATAACTCAGAGAAAGAAAGATTATTCTATGTTAGGTTTTAAAAAATGGAATGGGCTGATTGTGGAGGAGGCCATTTTCTTCTGATGGAGAAACAGCAATGGGGCCAGCAATTGGTGGGTGGTACATGATTTTTGAATTTTCACCTATAAATTATATACTGTTGGGATTATTATTTACAACCCACTATAAACATAGTTACAAATAGGCAGTAAAATTAGATCTTGTGTGTCAGCAGAGGGAAGAGGTAGGGCTGCAGACTCCGGAGAACCTTCTACAAGAAGGGGTTAGCCAGGTCACTACCCACAAGGCCCTCCTAACACCTAAAAAGCAAGAAAACTTATGTTAAGTACTTAGTCTTATGTTTGCTCACGTGCTGGTATTAGGCCTGGCTTGTGTTGACAGAAATACTGCACAGCTGTATCTTACAGCCCGAACCCCCGCCCACACCCCACCCCCACCTCATTCAGCTATGACCCACACCCCACCCCCACCTCATTCAGCTCTGACCGTCTCAGAATGTTTCACAGCAGCTTGTTGCTTAGGTTTGGTTGTTTGTCTTGTTGGTTGGTTTATTGGGTTGGTTGGTTGGTTGGTTGGTTGGTTGGTTGGTTGGTTGGTTGGTTGGTTGGTTGGTTG